TGATATATCCAAATTATTTCGTTACTCCCACCGACGCAGCCCCAAACAGTTTCTTTCGAAACTATCAGCCTTTATTCTCCATACTGTTCTCTATACATTTCCCTAAGTGCTGACAAGGAGAATTTGTTTAACAATCAAGAGCTACTTAAATTAGTTGGTGATCGCTTCCTTTATTCTCGTGACTTTAATATGTGATTTATGAGTGATATTGTTAGGAGAAATCAGATGCTAATCACTTAAAGGATTAAAAGTAGATGCTCCGATAGATGATCAGGATGTGATGTCCAAGAACTTTACACCAGGACTGCAGCCTAGTTGGGCTTACTCCATGTGCAAGGCTGTGCTCTAAGGGAAATTGAATGGAGTCCAGTGCTCTGAATCTGTGAAATACAGGGTGCCCAGTATAATTTATGCTTTGTATGAAAAAACTAGAATTCCTGAGTCGCCCAAGAGCAAAAGTAAGGCACCAGGGGCCACTGGGCGCTGTTAGAGCACAGCCTTGATGTGGTTTCAAACATGCTATCCCCTTTGAAATGTCTCTGCATTTGCATTTAATTTATTATTTATTATTTATTATTTATTATTTATTTAATAACAAACTGAAGTTGTTTCAATCAATTATCATAACAGAATCAATGATAATGTTAACACTCACATATTCATATCTGTCTGCCAATGGCCATTCAGGCTGGAAGATGAACATAAAAATTAATTCATGATAGTACACACCTTTTTTAAAAACCTAAATTGTTTTGGTTGAAGACATTTATCCATGCTTACAAATGATCTATTGCTGACATAATAATATCTAGCTTGTAATTTCAGCCACCAATTCCTAAAATAATATTTACCTTTTGAAGTGCACACAGAAGAAGAGCACCAGAATTCAACATTGGATTATGAGGTTGATCTGCAGAATGCACAAAAAAAATTCCCCAGAGAACTAAGAGAAAAACATGGCACAACATAATTGAAAAAACACTTAAAAATGAATATTTTAAAATCATGAACATCATCTTTTCATAATATTGTATTTTTTCAGTTCAAGTTGTTACCCCTCAGCTTAAACAATCTACATGCATTTCACCTGTAATGCATGGCACCTATTTTGTTCCTTTTCCTTTGCACATTGTGTCATCATTTTCTGCATGTATTGCATACCCATCAGAAATTTTATGCATGCACTTTTTACTGTCAGTTGTTCATGTTTCAACAAATGCATGCAGAATTTAGTAAGGAAAAATTACTTATTGGTAACCCCTAAACGTAGAAGGAAATTCCATACAGTCATGTTTTTAGTTACAAGGTCTTTTATGCATGGAGCAGGCTAAAACCATTTGAAACGCCAGAAAAGAATCTGGAATGTACTGGTAAGTACAAAATTAGCCAATCAGCAACCTTTTAACTTAATAAGTTGGCTTTGCTATAGTCAGGAAGTAAAAACTATCCAATCATCAATCAGTATTGCAACAGATATTCATCAATAACAAACTTGTAAAGGACAAGTTTGACTTTATGAGTTTGAAATATACTGAATTGAAGCAGCCTAACATTCTACTATAAAGAGATCCACTCAATTATTTAAAGACAAAATGTTACCCTGTAACAGTTCAAATACTAACCCTGGCTATTCAAGTGCAAGTAGTTAAATGTTTGACCACTGGGTTCTCGTCCTACATATCTATGTACCTGGTATAAATAAAATTTATTTCAAAATGTACAGCTAGAAGATTAATTAAAATATGAAGAAGATTCATTTTCATTAATTCTAATTAATATTCATCAATTATTAGAACTTTTGAGTGGCACACTATTGGGGGGAGGAATTTTCGATGGATCAGTAACCCATTCAGAAGTCATAGACATACTCCCACAATCATTCACTTCACATTACAGAATTTGGTTGTGGAAACACTCCAGCCAGTCATAATGAGATCATCACAGCAAAGTTGACCTTCTATATATCACACTTTAGGTATCTTCTACATTTGGACTACTCTCACTATATACCTCTCCTAAGTCAAAACAAACAAACTGTAGATCTCACTTTACTACTGAACAACTACAAATCCACCAACTGAAGAAACCTTATGTGATGAAAAATTACTTAATATAAAAAAAAAACATATTCAAAATTATGATATTATAATTATAGTAACTTAATACACTGGTTTTTTTTATTGAAAGTAATTTTATGCTCCACTACTAACGANATACTCACCCTCCCGTCCCCTCTGACTATGTTTTCATTTGAGCTTAAAATAGCGTTACTCTTCGCTTCGTTTCAAGTGGTTTTTCCGACGGCCATATCATGACGCATCAAATGAAACTGCGAGGAAATCCCATCAAAAGATCGGCAAGTTACAATGGATTTTCGCTTGCTCTTCCCAATGACATCGTTGAACTGAATGTTGTAGATAGTTCACCCGACTCTTCGGCATATTTTATGGATTGGAGCCCAGTTGTTCGAAAACAAGTCGGCTGCCCATTGCCGATAAGATCACCGAATCATGCGCTTGATTGCTCAGTTTCAAACAGATTTAGGGATAGATTACAGGGCGTAGAAAATTCTGATGTTAGTTTGACTGAACTTAGTGATGCATTAAGTGGAAGCGACGTTTGGCAAGAAGAATTAATTCTTCGTTTGAGGCGACAGGAAGCTGCCATTGAGAAAGACAAAGCCAGGCTTGAGGAAGAAATAAAGACCCTCCAGTTGAAGTTGGAATTAGAGGAGGATTTGCGACGCAATGATAAAGAATGCATGGATATCCTTAGAAGCCACATCTCAAAGCTTGAAGGAAAACTACAAAGCAGTGAGAAGAAGATAAGAGAATTAGAACACGAAAAACAACGGCTTGAGGTTAACTCTGCAGTGCTACCCGCAACAAAGCCGGGGGAATTTACACTTTTGAAAGCGCGCTTGGATGCTAGTACGGCCACTATTCATGCCCTTGAAGCGGATTTAAAAAGGATAAAAGGCGAGAAAGCTACACTTGAGGGGCAAGGAAAGGAATATCAAGACATGCTGATAAAACTTGAGCATCAGCTGCGAAGCGCTAACAAAGAACTCCAGCGTCGCGAGAATCGAGTAAACGAGCTTGTCGAGGAAAGAAGATCTCTGGAGGACTTTCAGATAAAAGCACGCAGCTTGCAAAGAAAAGATCAGAAATCTTCTTATGCTCTGCAAATTCAAATTGTCAACCTGCAAGAAAAACTTGAGATGTCGAGCCGGACAAATGAAGAGTTGAAAAGTGAAAAGGAGAAGTTGGAAGCTAAAATCAAACAACTTGAAAACAAGGTGAAAGAATTAGAGGGAAGTTATCGATCCAAACTTGAGCAGACAATGGAAAGATTAAAACGGCAGAAGTCACACGCTGAAGATAATCCATTCAAGGGAATAAACGGATGTTTACAGCGTGATCATCAACCATCTTCAAGCGAAAAATCGGCCGACAGCCAGGAATTAAAACAACAATGTAACGCGGAGGTCAAAGTGTCAACGCAACGAAAGCACATTTGTACCTTGCTCATGGAGTTGAACAAACAAATGGAGGAAAATACTTGTAAAGAAATTGAATTAGCCCCCTTGGAGTCAACTCTGAAAGAATTTCTGGATAAGATTTCCAACAATGTTACACATGCACTACGGCAGACCAAATTTCAAGGGAAGCCCCTGCAACTGGTCGCTGCGGCTAAGGAACCCTCCAAAGAGGAAGTTATATGGGAGAAAGCACCCGCTAAAGTAAGTCACTTTTTGTTGCTTCGGAAGCTTTTTCATGTAAGATATTTTAGCTTAACCTTTACAAATCTTAATATCTTACACATGTAAGTAATTCTCCTTACTGTCTGCCATACAATTCTTATGATGTTTGTTTGGAGAATTTGGTACTGGATCAACTTAAAATGCTTTCAAACATTTGACAACTATTCATGAGGGTGAAATTAATATTTTTGAATGATAGCCTCAGGGATTATTCACCACTATTCACTGTGCCTGAGGCAAATGAGTGATTAAGTATAATTGCTAAGGTGCTTTTGAATTCTGTTGTAAATTTTTTTTTTACTGTATACATGTTGTGGTTCAATTTTATCCTTGGTTTAAATTTTATTTTCCATTGTTTTTGGTTATGTTAATGTATGATAATAGGGTTGAAACAATGGAAAATAAAATTTAAACCAAGGATAAAATTGAACCACAACACATATGATTCTCTTACAATAATTGTTATCATTACTCGAATGGAGATAAGCAACCAGATTCCACTGAACTTTAACAGGTTTATTAATTCATCAGCAAAAACTTTGTTCTTTTTCTATTGAAATGTGATTTGCCAAATGTACTAGCATCTTTTGTGTTCTCAGGAATTGTGTTTTGTTCAATTGCGTTTGTCACTTTCTACCTAACATTGAGGAAGTGTGAGGCAGGTATTTTGAAAATTTAAGGGCCCTTGCTATGATAGCTTTGCAGAAGGTGATTATAGCAAGTAATGAGGCAATTCCTGACCAATCAGAGCATATGGATCCCTAAAGTCACCAAAGCAATTATGCATTANTTCTACTGTCAGTATAATAGTTACTCCCTATAAAAATATACATTGTAAATCATTGAATAAATCATATATTAATAATTGGTACAGTACATAACTCAACTTCCACAAAATTAGTGTTCTCCTTTTTGGGTGGTGACAAGTAAAATTTACAGCTTGTAGCATCTCTAACTATGTTAAACCTAGAATCCCTTGGAATTCTTGAAAACTCATGATTGAAGTAAAAGGATTGCTCTCCAGGTTTGAAAAGTGTATTTAACCAGCCATGCTTATAAAAAAGGTGAGAACACTGACTGTAAAATATAATTGCCCATGAAATATTTCAAAACAAGCAACATATACAACCACAGAAACAATTCACTTAAGTTAAGTATACATTTTGAATGGACAAAACTATAATATTAAGCTATTAGCTTAATTAGTTTTGTCCATTCAAAAGGTTTGTGACTACCTCTGCCCATCAACTGAACAAACAGCCATGCCCCAGAGGTTAGGATCAAACTTTGCCAACTGTGGAATGTAATCAGCTACCTATGCTAGGAAATTGATTTCTCACTTAATACAAGAATCAATTATTTATTAACAACACATTATTATACATTAAATATTACTGGATCCAAACGAAAAAAAGTAACACAATCAAACCATGGAGAGGCCGGTGGCTTGGATTATCAACTTTTCTTTTTACTGCACATGAAAGGGATTTTAATAACTCAAGGAGATGCTAGTTGACAAAGAGAATAAGTTTGCTAGCCATCAGTTTCTTACTGTACTCAGATTTAAGGTTGGCAGTCTCCCCACAGAAGACAGACTGAGTTCTAATTATGGCCGTCCAAACAGACTCTGGAAAGAAGACAATCCTAAGTAACAGGGGCACTTGACAACATGTGGAAGATCATATTGATGGTGCAATACTGTTACCCAGACTAGACAAACCTGCCTTAATTTAGCTTTAGCTTCAGCTGGTTCAGTTTCATTTGCATTTTCAGTTTATCTCCAGTCAAAGTTGAACATCAAACTGAACCACCACAGAAAATACCCAGTCCAAAATATAATTGACATCAGTGTGGCCATCACTACAAAGGTTCAGCTACATCCCTCTGCATCACCTTGAGTTTTGATGAAGTACATTGTTTGATAAGGCTCAAGCTAAAGGTTTAAAAAGGCCATTTATGATCTTACCTTTCCTTCACTGTTTGGTTTACATTTCTGATATATTTCCTCAATATGTTTCGTAAACTGACTAAATTCTGGAATCACAGAATCTCCACAAAGTGCCTTCTCTATCAGGACAATATTCTTTTGGATAGATCTGAAGGAAATTAGTATGTTAAACTCAGTAACTAAATTTAATATCAATCAACCGTCTAAGTCAGTAAATGTACAGTGAGTATTATGAATATATCATAGCTGAAACAAAAATCAGATCATGAAATTAAAAGAAAGGATTGCCAAATAAAGATCTTGACTGCTTTAAATAACCAAGTTGTCCTTATCAATTCAATAGAAATATAAAGTGTTAGAATACATGCCCCAATATCATGACCAATGTACCCGCACGCTTATCACAATGTTTATCGCAGTTAATCGTGGCTTATCGTTAATAGTACAAAACCACTTTAGGAAATGCCGCAAAATTGTATAGGTGATACTATGCCAAGTATGTTAACTTTCAGAGCCACTTGTGAATGATTGTTTAAAAGTCAGTGAAATATGCAATAAAAATCAGTTGTTACTCCCACTTGCATGATGCATATGTACTAGTTACAACATGGTAACATCAGTAAACCTAACATCACATCATGAAATTAAAAAAAAGGACTGCCAACTAAAGAAGATCTTGACTGCTTTTAATAACCAAATTCTCCTTGTCAATACCATAAAAATGTAGAGAGATCAGTATTTAGAACATGCATACTGATCAATACAAAGTAAACTTAAAGGTGATTGAACAACTTAAAAGAGCTTAAGTCCCCTCAGGGAGGGAGGGGGAGGGAG